ATAAGGCAGGTACCCTATGTAAAAAATAGTTTATGATCATGTAATATCATACTACATCCACACAAACGAAATGCCAGAATTTAGGTTGCTCATAGTCCAAGTTGTGAGTGTTTACCTTTGCACCCTAATCTTTTAATGACATTATATCTCCCTTTTTTAGTGTGTGTGTGTGTGTGTGTGTGTGTAAAGATGCTTATGTTCTATGTTACAACTATCACTTCCTCTTCCCTCCGACCTCACCAAAAAATGCATCAGCAGGGTTTAGCACTATAGTACAGAGGACTATCACTTCAGCTGACAGCAGAAGGCCATTATGTAGAGGCAGATGGGATACTAGCACCATGTGTTAGAGGTCCTTCTACCCTCTCGATCTCTTCACCCCCTGAGTATGTGAGGAGGGGTTGCTGCCCCTTTATATTGTCCTCAGAAGTTAGGGCGGCGGCGGCTGCTGCTGCGGCTCTGGCAACTCCCAGGTATTCCCAATAAGTGTGCTGCTACAGCGGTGGTGTGGGTCCCGAACTTTAGCATGCTCATGCAATTCTCTGTGGCAAGTGCCTTGCATTTCTCAGGAAAAAGTTGGCAATGGCAGGGATACATATGGTACCTCAGCTAAACAGAATTTCATGGATTTAAAACAAAGTATTTATCTAGCATCAGGGCTTGCCTCTTGCTAAATTTCAAAAGCCTATTGCAAGTATTGCATACTCAATCTTTTATAAATGAAAGCATTAGCAACTTCTATGCTTAGGTTGTCTGCCTGCTACCCCCATAATGAAAATTCTAAACACAGGAAATTACAATGATATTCATCTAGGTCAAATGTTTTGTAATCCTCATGCCAATAGATGACACAATATTTGGGTGACATCACCCCTAAAAATTTTCTCTGTTAAAATACAATGTTTGTCATTAGTAGATGTGACAAAACCCAAACTAAGAAAATGAATCATTTCCTTATGTTACTCTTCATGATGGCAGTAAGCATCACCTACACTAATTGAAGACTTGTGTGTTCAGAAACACTTCAGTTGCCTGAGTTTCTCTGACCAACCACAGACATTTCATCTTTAATGAGTATCACATAATTCAGACAGCACGATGTGTCAGTGGATGATAAATGTTGGCATTTAAACCTACAATTGCTTTATGGCAAGCCAGGAAATCATCGAGGGCTGCACTGGATAAAAATGGTCTGTTGAAAGCTAACAGAACAGCACAGAAACTTATTAAAAGAGAGAGAATATCTTGGACAGCTGCTGCACTATTATCTAATCTCGTCTCTCATTTTAGGAAAAACACCAAGCACTACTAAGTGTGACACCATTTTATCTTTTTTCCCCTCTGCATTTTTTAGAACATATTTGCTCTTTAATTTCAGTGACTGCACATTTGGTAAGGAGTGGGAAGAACAATTGCCTTGTGGTTGAGGCATAGGACTGGAAGCAGTAACATGCTGGCAGTGTTGGGGACGTGTTCTTGGACAAATTGCTTAAATTCTGGAGAGGTGATTGAGTCTCTTCTCCTTTACACAACTGTAATTCTCTTCATTTCAGTGGGACACCTCTCAGGGTGAGATAGAAAGATTAGGCCCTTCGTGCCTCACCTTCCCTAGCAGTTAAAATGGGGAGAATGTATTTACTTCATACAAGGGTGTGTCAGGCTTAATTCACCAATATGGCCCAACAATTTAAGCTCTTCCTATGAAAGGAGCTATATAGCACTTACTTAGATAACAGTACAGGTGCTGTATTTGAGGATTTGCATCTTATTTCTTATTGCCTGGAGAACTGTCACCTAATGGAGGTGGTGCTTCCACACCATTCAGTGTGTTACTGAACAAAAATCTATTTAGGATAGGTGATGCTGTCTCACTTGCTAGACAGTTTAAGGAAATGAGTTATCTAATGACAAGGTTTGGAGGTACTGAAACTACTTTGAACTTAAAAAGGTGGAAACCTCTAGCATTCATCAGAGGGAAATGTACAGGATTTTTCATTGATCAGAACAGGGAGGAGAATTAAGACTTTGGTGGATTTTTAAAGCAGAAGCTGAAACTTTACCTTCTCCTCCCACCCCACACGAAACTGATGATTGCACTGCACCCCAATAAATCTCAATGTTCTCCATGCCAAATAACCAGTATTCAGGTCTAACCCCCTAGGGTTCTACCCACCTCTGAATCCTCTTACCCTCCATGCACAAAGGGAAATGATGGCACATGGGAAGGCTGATGTACACATACACACACTTGCTCTCATTTGAACTAGTATGTTAAAAATAGCCACAGTCGTACGGGTTAGCTGCTCTGACAAACTTAGCTGGAGCCTGTAGGTTTGTACTTAGGGCAACAAGTCCATGCTACCCATACCTATGCTTCCATTTTTACATGCCATCTCTGATGAGAGCTGGCATGAGTGTGTCTACACAAGCTGGAAAGCACAGCCAACGCTTGTAGAGTAGACATACCTTATGTCTCTGCAGCCTGAGGCTATTCCATTTTCCCTCCAAGCTGATGGGTGCATCAGCCATTTTCCAGGTCTCATGGTTACTTGTTGGAGCTAGCCAGGCTGGACATAGGCAGCAAGTTGCAATGAAATTACAAGCACAGGTACAGCTGGTAAATCCTGGCATAGCTCCTTATTAACCTAAACATAGGCCTCAAGGAAAGTGGAGGATAAGCCCCTAGGTATCTTGTTACTCTTGATGAGGGAAAAATTATTTCCGGATGTTAAAAATAGCTCAGACCCACAGCAGTTATGGAGCACTGTTCAACCTATACCTCCACTGCAGGGATGGACGCATGGGTCAGCAGTCACAGTAGCATAGCTGCTGCCTGCCCTGAGCACTTCAAACATACAGGAAGGGCAGGCACCCAACACGCAATCAACTCTCCCTCCATCTACACAGCTTAGCCTATGGCACCCAGAGACAGAGGATTCTTTCCCCCTCCACCTGGCCATGAACTTCAACTGCATTTCTGAGAGGGGTGTGCAGAAGGTCTCAGGGCAGGGGGTTCTCTCTCCCCTGCCAGTCTAATCAAACAGCTCCCTTCCACTAGAAAAGGGGATGGGGCAGGGGTGCATTTAATTAAGACTTATGTCACTAGCTGATCTGAATGAAGATTACAAACTAGCATTCCTGATGAGATGATGCATCTTATTGTTTTGTATTTTCATTATTATATTCTCCTTTGGTGGATATCCCTTATGCACTATCCTCTCTGAGATGGTGAATTGAGTTGTACAGTCCAATTTTTGTATTTAAATGGTATTTTGTTTGTAATATTAATGTCCAATTTACAGGTGTGACTAGTCTGCCAAGATGGCAGTAGCCATCAATGTTACTAGAGAGACAAGGTGGGTGAGATCATATCTTTTATTGGATCAACTTCTGTTGGTGAAAGAGACACGCTTTGGAGCTTACACAGAGCTCTTCTTCCTCAGGCAGTTGAGGGTTTCCTTCCTGCCGTTCATTGATTGAAAAAAGCAAAGCACTACTGCTTAACTGAAATGTCCTATCCTTCCCTCTGACTTAATTTGTTGTTAATTATCCTATAGTGATGATTTTTATTCCTCGTTAAGGGGTGGGCTTTTCCACTGTACAAACAATT